TAATGCATTCCAGCCTCCTAATCATTTTGGTCTCCCATGCATCCACATCCTTTCTATAGTGGGAGTGGGGGCGGGGGCAGAACTGGACACAGTATTCCAGGTGTGGCCTCACTGGAGCCAAATAAAGGGGGTATAATCACTTCTCTGGATCTGCTGGCAGTGCTCCTCTTAATGTAGCCAAGAAGGCTAATGGCATATTAGAGTGCAAGGGCACACTGTTGACTCATATCCAGCTTCTCATCCACTGTAATCCCCAGGTCCTTTTCTGCAGAACTGCTACTTAGCAATTCGGTCCCCAGCCTGTAAAAATGCTTGGGATTATTCCGTTCCAAGTGCAGGACTCTACACTTGTCCTTGTTGAACCTCATCAGATTTCTTTTGGCCCAATCCTCTAATCTGTCCAGGTCACTCTGGCCCTTATCCCTGCTCTCCAGCATATCTACTTCTCCTCCTAGCTTAGTGTCAGCTGCAAACTTGACGTGGGTGCAATCCATCCCCTCACAGGTCATTAATATACAGAACAAAACTTGTCTAAGAACAGATTCTTGGGACACTCCGCTAGAAACCGACTGCCAACCTGACATCGAGCTGTTGATCACTACCCGCTGGGCCCGGCCTTCTAGCCATCTTTCTATCCATCTTACAATCCATATTCCCTTAACTTGCTGGCAAGAATATTGAGAGACCGTATCAAAAGTCAAGGTATATCACATGCACTGACTTTCCCATATCCACAGAGCCAGTTACCTCATCATAGAAGCTAATCAGATTGGTCAGGCACGACTTGCCCTTCGTGAATCTATGTTGACTATTCCTGATCACTTTCCCTGCTTCCAAGTGCTTCAGAATGGATTCCTTGTGGATCCCCTCTGATTTTTCCAGGGACTGAGGTAAGACTGACTGGCCTATAGTTCCCTGGATTATCCTTCTTCCCTTTTTTTAAAGATGGGCACTACATTTGCCTTTTTCCAATCATCTGGGATCTCTGCCGATCTCCCAGAGTTTTCAAAGATAATGGCCAAAGGCTCCGCAATGACATTTGCCAACTCCTTCAGTACCCTTGGATGCATTAAATCCAGGCCCATGGATCTGTGTACATTTAGCTTTTCTAAATAGTTCCTAACTCGTTTTTTTTTCCCCACCAAAGGCTGTTCACCGCCTTCCCATACTGCATTGGCTAGTGCATTTGTCTGGGAGCTGACCTTGTCCGTGAAGACAGAGGGAAAGGAAACATTGAGTACTTCAGCTTTTCCCACGTGTCACTAGGTTACTTCCCTCATCCAGTAAAGGCCCCTCACCCTCTTATTGCTAACATGCCGGTAGAAACCTTTCTTGCTGCCCTTCACATCCCTTGCCATCTGCAACTCCAATTGCGTTTTTGCCTGCATAACTCCCCTGCATTCTTGAGCAATATATTTATACTCTCTAGTCATCTGTCCAAGTTTCCACTTCTTGTCAGCTTCCTTTTTGTGTTTGGCTTACCGGGAACATCCATGGTGAGCTTAATCTGGTCACCTACCATGTTTGTTTTTCTTGCTACTCATCGGGATGGTTTCTTCCTGTGCCTTTAATAAGGCTTCTTTAAAATACTGCCAGCTCTCCTGGACTCCTTTTCCCCTTCATGTATCATCTCAGGGAATTCTGCCCATCAGTTCCCGGAGGGAGTCGAAGTCTGCTCTTCTGAAGTCCAGGGTGTGTATTTTCCTACTCTCTTTTCTTCCTTTGGTCAGGATCCTGAAATCTACCATCTCATGATCACTGCTTTCCAGGTTGTCACCCACCTCTACTTCCCCTACTAGTTCCTCCCTGTTTGTGACCAGCAGGTCAAGCTGCACATATCCCCTGGTTCCTTCAGCACTTGTACCAAGAAGTTATCCCCAATATTCTCCAAAAGCTTCCTGGATTGTCTGTGTACTGCTGTATTGGTCTCACAACAGATGTGAGGGTGATTAAAGTCCCCCATGAGAACCAGGTCCTGCAATCTGGAAGCTTCTCTCAGTTGTCCAAAGAAAGCTTCATCTACTGCATCCACCTGATCCTGCGGTCTGTATCAGACACCAACCACAACATCACTCCTGTTGCTTCCACCTCTAAGTTTAACCCATAGACTGTCTGCAGTCTTTTCTCCCTCTAAGTTCTGGAGCTCTGAACAATCATACTGCTCTTACATACAATGCAACTCCTCCTCCTTTTTTCCCCCACCTGTTCTTCCCGAACAGTTCACACCCTTCCTTGACAGTGCTCCAGTCATGTGAGTCATCCCACAAGGTCTCCATTATTCCAACCAAATCAAAGTTCTTTGACTGGGCCAGGGCTTCTAGTTCTTCCTGTTTTGTTTCCCAGGCTTCTCGAAGTGGCGCACACACCTTAGATAACCAGTTGATTGCCCTGCCTTCTCCATCCAAATCAGAGGTCCTCCTTTGTTGCTCATTCCTCTGTGATTCTTCCCTATGTCTGACTTCCCCACTTACCTCAGGGCTTTGGTCACCATACCCCAATGAACCTAATTTAAAGCCCTCCTAACTAGGTTTGCAAGCCTGCTCATGAAGATGCTCTCTCCTCTCTTGGTCAGGTGGATCCCATCTCTTCCTAACAATCCTTGTGCCAAGAACAGAGCCCCGTGGTCCAAGAAACCAAAGCCCTCTCTCCGACATCACCTGCGCAACCACTCATTTATGTCCTCAATTTGATGATCCCTACCCGGACATTTTCCTTCAACTGGAAGGATGGACGAGAACACCACTTGCGCTTTAAATTCCTTGATCCTTCTTCCCAGCACTACAAAACCTGCTGTTACTTGCTCAAGGTCATTCTTGTCTGTATCATTAGTTCCTACATGGAGAAGCAGGAAGGGGTAGTGATCCGAAGGTTTAATCACCTTCGGAAGACTGTCACATCCTGCATGTGAGCTCCCAGTAAGCAGCACACTTATCGAGATGGGGACTCCCTCCTAAGAGGAACTGAGTCATCTAGCTACCACCACCCGTCTTCTTCTAGGGATGGGGGTTCCACGACAACCACCCCCAAGACTACGCATCCCATGCCTTTGGGTAGATGGTGTTCCCTTCTGATTTCTTCCCTGAGAGGTCCCTGCAGTGCCTGTGGACCGAGCCTGAAAGTGGTTACTTACCTCTACAGGAATGGGGGATACCTGAGTTGGTCGTCTTCTCCTTCTAGAGGTTACTTGCTGCCAGTTTTCTTCCTTGTCCTGTACTGTCCTCACTAGCTCGTCAGTCTGCTGTGCCTGCAGGATTAAATGCTGCCTTCCATCGAGGATGTCTTCATCCTCTCTGATAGAACGTAGAGTTGATACTTGGGCCTCCAGTCCTCATGTTTTTTCTTCGAAAATGGTGACCAGCTTTCACTTAGTGCAGATTAAATCACTTCTTTCTTCTGGAAGGAAGACAAACATGGCACATGCTGTGCAGGTAACAACAGCAAACCTTTCACCATCCATACCTGGCTATCTTCTGAGAGAATCCTCAGTTATTAAATGCCTCCTTGAAGGGAAGGAGTGCAGTGAAAAGATGTTAAGGAATGGTGAGTGTTAAGGAATGGTGAGTGTATCTTACGCCTTCTCGCTCCCTCTCTAAACTTCCTGTTAATAGCCCCTGGTCGCTGACTCACTCCTTTATAAAGCCCTAGACTGCCTGATAGCCCCTCCCCGTGATTAAGGTTCAACCAATGACCAGTGGTTTCTAGATTTCAAACCCTGATTAGAAGCTCACAGCTTCCACCTGCCAGCCACAGCACACACTCTGTGGGGGGAGAGAAGGAGGGGAAAAAACCAGTTAAACACAAGCTCAGCCCACAGCAAGAAAAACACAAATGCCCGCTACAGACAGAGCACTTCCCTCAAGGGTCCTGTATTAGCTTCCTCCTTTATCTGGAGAACTTCTTCTCCAAACCCCCATTTAGCAGCCCATGTTATAGATGTGTTATGGTAGGAGACCCCCAGGCACTTCCAGTTTTCCCTTTCAGGGGCTCTGTTCTGGTTGTGTCCAGTGTCTTGGGGTCTTTGCTGTGAATGGAGGCTGTGCAGCCCCTCCTGCAGTGACAGAACCACTGGGAGTGGGGCATTGACTTCACTGGGCCTCAGCAGAATTCTTGTTGTAGGATTTTGGTGCAGAACAGTTGTTTAAAACCAGCCTCTAGCAAAGAGGCTTGACGGTCTGAGTGACCATCCCTAGTTGTCTGTCTTATATACCAGATTGCATTAGGATTTCTGTTTTTACAGCCTTTGGCCATATTGTGTACAAAATTCCAGCCTTGTTAACCCTGGGTAAAGCTTTCAAAGGAGCTGGTCGTAAGTGTCTAAATCCCTTTTTGGAAATGGGAGTTGGGATCTTAAGTCACTTGGGTGATTTAAAAGTCTCCCCCTTCTTCCTAAAATTAGGACCAAGATTATGATTCACTGCTATAGGTTGAACTTCTCTAGTTGATCACTCTCTGGTCCAGCAACAACCATGGCCTTTCATGATTTTAGTTAGCCAGATGTCCACTTATCGTGGGTGTGGCCAAGTTTTCCCCAGTCCCATAAAGTTTATTTACAGCCACCAGTCCTGGCTCTGTGTTCTGTGCTGTTATTTAGCTCTAATAAAATGTCTTGTAAGCAGTAGAAGTGTTGGTAATACTGCTAGACATTACTGACCTCCAGTGGTTGGGCAAATTCTCTTGTTTGGCATCGGTCAAGTCTCAAGGGTGCCAGATTAGAGAGGTTCAAACAGTAGTGGTGGAATTCATAGGGAATAAAGGGCTCAGGAATTTTTATTACTGTGTGACTTAATCCTGACACAAAGAAGTCATTGTACTCTCTTGCTCGGAGCTATTGCTAATACACATAAGTATTTTCATGATACTCCTGAGTAAGACAGAGGGTGACTAATAAAAGATCTATGCAGATAAAAGAGTAAATGTATATTTTATTTGTTCTTTATGCAAAATAACTAGAGATGTCAGAAGACCTGTTTGTCCAGTATGCAATGATCACACAAGTCATAACCCTCTTACTATTATTTTCTCTGTCCCATGGCTCTGCTCCAGGGTTGTGTGGACCATCCGATCGTTTTAACAGAAGCAGTATGTAATCCTCTGTATTCAAGACAAATGATGTCGGAGCTCTTGTTTGAATGTTACCAGGTCCCAAAGGTTTCCTATGGAGTGGACAGTTTGTATAGCTTATACCACAACAGAAGGCAGGACTGGCCTTGCAACAGTCTGATCGTGTCTTCTGGTTATCAGTGCACACACGTTTTGCCAGTCTTAGAAGGCAGGTGAGTGACACCTTAGGGCAGGTGGCCACAGGTTTCTATAAAGCAATGCACAGCAGCTCTTATTTTGTATACAGAAGTGCAAATCCTGTTTAATTGACTAACTGGTTAAATATATTGTTTAACCTGTGAAAGGGAGAACGACCCGGTTGGAGTGGCCTCCTCGATCAGAGTCATGAGCTGCACCAGTGTCCCAGCAGGAGTATCCCCTGCCTACTGGGTTCTTGGACCTGCCATATGCAGGGGCTGCTCCAGTCTGGCCAGAGCAGCCTCTGTCTGCCTACAGCAAGTAGGGAGCTGCTCCACCCCCACCAGTTACCCATTAAGGGTGAGACTTACTGGTTAAATCTTCACATCCCTAGCAGGTAGCAGATGTAGTAGGTTCCTTCAGTGTGCATCTTGCTCCAAACAGATGCTTGGACCTGAACAATTCGCATTCTCAAATGTATATTAAAGACCAGTAAAGATGAATGTGGTCGACTTTCCAATAGCAAGATTTGGAGATCTGGATTCTAATGTACTTGAATACTGGGGAACACACACAATACAGTTCTTTATTGTTAAAGTGCATAAATCCATGTTCCTAAAATAAGGGGGGCAAGATAATCTTTCTACTAGTAAAATACCAGACAACATATGTACCTCTTCTGTTTGAGAATTGTTTAGACCAATGGCTTTCAAACTTCAGGTCATGAACCAGTACTAGGTTGCGAAATATCAGGCACTGGGTTGCCCTGCCGTTGAGTGACCAGCAGGGGTGCTAAGGCAGGCTTCCTACGTGACCTGGCACTGCACTGCACCCCCAAAGTGTCTAACCGCCCATCTGAATCCTAGGCAGGGAGCTGCAGGGCTTTGCGCGCTATCCCTGCCCTGAGCACCAGCTCTGTACTCCCGTTGGCTGGGAGCTGGTGGGGGGGCCGTGCCTCTGGGCAAGAACAGAATACAGAGCTGTCCCAGCTGCCTGCACCACAAATATCTCATCAATGTCCCCACCCTTACGCCTGCACCCCCAGACGGAGCCTACACTGCACTTGCCCACCCTCCTGTCCCAGCCCCAAACCTCCTTTTGTACTATGGGTATGAATGTTTAACTGGTTGACTGGTGGGGGCTGTAGTCAGCCACTGGTCAGTTTCAGCAGCGGCTGAATCAGGACTCCTGGGGCAGAACAGCTGGGGTGCTGCCGGGTTGGTCCAGTAGCGCCAAGGAGCGGTGCTGCGGGACCAACTGGCAGCGCCCCACCTGCTCTACCACAGGCCCGGGGCTTTGCTCCACGTCTCCCTGGTCTGCTGGGGGGGAGGGGGGCACTAGCTGCGTCCCCTCCTCCCCCAGCAGACCAGGGAGACGCGGAGCACTTTGCTCTGGCAAAGCCTCAGAGGCGCGTGACTCCTCCGCCTCCCAGCTTTGCTCCAGGTGTCCCTGGTCTGCTGGAGACGGTCCCCAGCAGACCAGGGGCACCCGGAGCAGCTTTTCTCGCCCCGGAGGTCGAGGTGGCGGGACCGCTGCGCTCTGGGCGGTCCCGCTGCCTGCGAGCTCCGGGGTGAGAGAGCCCCGTTCGTAAGTGCGGATCCGACATAAGTCGGATCCACGTAACTCGGGGACTGCCTGTACTTGATGACTCAGGGAAAGGCAAACTTGGTTCACGTGATGCATGCAGCCAGCTGTGTTCTGCTGTGTGGACAAGGGGGCTTTCTCTAGTAGTCAGTTTACTCCACAAAGTAGGAAGAATTGTGCTGAAATTACCCAGCATAGCTAGATCCTTGTGTTTTTCACAAAATATAGGCCAGTGGTTCTCAGCAGTGCGAGGTGGGGGAGAAGAGTCAGGTGGGAGCCAGGGGTCGTGGGGAGCTCGCTTTTAAGCAGGGTCCACATGAGCACCAGTTCTTGGGGAGCCGCCTGCCCCACTGCGCTGCTGCCTGGTAAGCAGGAGCCAGCTTTTTAAGCCAGCTCCCCGTGCATACTGAGATCGGTGTTTCTCAGCATGCGGGGTGGGTTGTAACTCCTGGTTCAGGACCAGCCCAAAAGGGCAGTTGCCTGGAGTACCCCATCACAAGTACCCCGCAAAGCTAAGTTACCTGCTTTAGCCCCAGCTTGCTGGGCTCCAACTTCAGACAAGGCTCATAAATGAAAACCAGGCCCAAGTATCACACTGACATGTAAGTCAAATCTAAATATTGCAGTCAATATATTTTATAGTTATATGGTACAAATGAGAAAATAAGCAATTTTCCCGTACTGATGTGCTGAGACACTTTTGTATTTTTATGGCTGTGAGGCTAGCTCTACAGTAGGGAATATGTTTGAATTAGGATATGCAACTCCAGCTACATTAATTGCATAGCTTGAGTTGAAGCACTCTCTCCCTTCGACTTCCTTTACTCCTCAGAGTAGCAGGACTACCGGCATCAACAGGAGCGCCCTTTCAGTTTGAGTTAGCATGTCTTCAGTAGACCTATGAATTCAAACCCCAGAAAATTGACTCTGGCAGCTTCGATCTTCTCTGTAGTGTAGACAAGCCTTAAGTAAGTAGTTAAGGGAGGTGAAACATGAGAATATAAATCAGACTCCTTGAAAGGGGTATAGTAATTTGGAAAGGTTGAGAACCACTGGAGGCCACGGATTCTGGCAACTGATTGCCTATTCTACTGTGATCTTCAGTGTTTGTCCTTCTGTAAACCCAGTTCTGCATCCATTCTATCTCCTCTTCCCCCCCCCCTCCCCCCCCGTTAACCAAAAATAAAACTTACAAAGATTTCTGATATTCCCTGGCTTGGTGGTGTTGGGGTACAAAAGGTTTTCTATCGGTTTTTGTTTTACCTACTTATTTATAATCAGTATTGCTTTCTTTGTGATTTAAAATAGATGTTTTATTCTGTAAAGTTCTGGACTTCTCTAGTTTCAGGTGTCTCTTTTTTTGTGGTGTTAGGTTGGATGCTAAAAACTGCAAACGTATCAATCTCGGGGGATGCCAAGCAGCTGTGTATCTTCAGCGCCTTCTGCAGCTGAAATACCCAGGGCATTTTGCTGCCATTACTCTAAGTCGCATGGAGGAAATACTGCATGAACACAGCTACATTGCAGAGGATTATATAGAAGGTAAGGCTGGGTGTAAATCAAACTGCACAATTTTAATTAATTAAATGTATTTTAACCCTGTCCTCTACCTCATTCTCACATAGCCATAATTACCATTTTACTGAAATTCTGATAGTCTTCATATATAAAGTAATTAAGCCTTCATGGCTTCCTCTCCATTAGTCCAGGTTGTATAATGTAGGGGACAACAGTTTCATAGCAGTCCATAAAGGAGAGTCCGTAAAATAGAGAAAATGTAAAGTAATGTTTATCAAGGTAAAAATTGTGTGCTATTTAAAAAACATCTTATTGTTAGTTTAAAATCCCTCTGTTGCTAATACAGTAAAACTCCATTAGTCCGGCATCCAATGCTCCGGGACTCCTGATGGTCTGGCACCATCAGGAACCCGGAAGTGCTGGGGCAGCCGGACAGGCTTCCCCCATTCAGCTGCTGCTGAAACTGACCCAGCAGCTGAATCGGGGAAGCCGGGAGCAGAGCAGCTGGGGTGCTGCTGGGTTGGTCTCCTAGCGCTGCCCCTCGGGGCTGTGGGACCAACTGGGCAGCACCCCAGGCGTCCCCGATTGAGCCACTGCTGAAACTGACCAGTGGCTGACTCCAGGAAGCCGGAGGCAGAGCTGCTCTGCCCCGGGCTTCCTGGAGTCAGCCCCTGATCAGTTTCAGCAGCGGATGACTTGGGGACACCTGGGACAGAGCAGCTGGGGTGCTGCCGGGTTGGTCCCACAGCCCCGAGGGGCAGCGCTAGGAGACCAACCCAGCAGCACCCCAGCTGCTCTGCTCCCGGCTTCCCCGATTCACCTGCTGGTCTGGGGTGCTGCTGGGTTAGTCCCACGGCCCCAAGGGCAGCGCTACAGGACCAACCGGGCAGTACCCCAGCTGCTCTGTCCCAGGCGTCCCCAAGAGCAGCTGGAGTGCTGCTGGGTTGGTGCCGTAGCGCCGCCCCTCGGCGCTGTGGGACCAACTCGGCAGCACCCTAGCTGCTCTATTGCAGGCATCCCCTATTCAGCTGCTGCTGAAACTGACCAGTAGCGGCTGAATCAGGGATGCCTGGGGCAGAGCCAAACTATCGTAAGGGGGGGCTATGAGGGGTCTGGGGTGGCATCCCCTCCCACCCCACTCCAGACTCCTCATAGCTCCCCCTTCTGATAGTCTGGCATATCTGAGAATTCGGCACCCCCTGGGTCCTAAAGGTGCCGGATTATCGGAAGTTTACTGTAACTGGGATTATTTTAGAACCAAAATTTATTAGCTGGTTTCACTTCTGCTTCATTTGGTTCATTTTCTGATTCTCATGTATCCATAATACATTTCTGTTGTGTTAAACTTTACAGCTACTAGCATTTCAGAGAAGATATTTGTGCCTCAAAAGAGCCCAAAAATGTAGTAACTAAACTAGAAATCACTTTAGGCATCTTCCAAAGAAGGATAAATTCAAAGGATGGATATAGAAGAAATTTATTTTTATATGATAAAAATCCTGTGTAGTAAAAGGGACTGCAAAGGACTGTGGAAATACAGGGAGACTTGCAGCCTAGACAGAAGGGCTTTAAAGATGAATTAGGGCCCTGTTTGCTGCCCATCTATTTCATGCTTTTCATATGCTGGAGATCAGGGTCCGTGAGACAGAGGAAGACACTTGAAATGAGTATGAAATCTAATGCTCTCGTATTCAGTCAGTGCTGCTTTGAGGGGGCAGCTAACAGGAATGCTGGCTGGCTAGGCAGTAGGGAAGGTTCCCAAACTAGAATGCTGCTTCTTACCATGTTCTTTAATGTGGGAGCTTGCAGAAAGGGGTGTGCACCAGATAGTGTCAGGCTGGCAAATAGATTATTTGCTTTCAAAATATTCCCCCAGAGCTGCAGAAGTGGAGGTCTCCAGAGTACTATGAGAGCAACGTGCACAAGATGCAGCTGCCCTTCTCCAGCAAACTTCTCGGTAGCACCCTGACATCGGAGGAGAAGCAGGAGAGGCGGCAGCAGCAACTTCGTAGGCTCCAAGAGCTTAATGCGCGCCGGCGGGAGGAGAAACTGCAGCTTGACCAAGAGAGGCTGGAGAGATTGCTCTATGTGCAGGTAGTCATGGAAAATGAGTTTCTGTGTGTTTGGGAGTAGAGGGTACTGCTCTTAGAGCCGTAGGGACTTTTCTTCACATACTGAAGGGCACTGTTTTGCAAACAGCACAGTGAAGACTTAGCCAAGGGCTAAGTCTCCTCTTATGACAAGTCTGTTTCACAACAGATGGACTTGTGTGTTGTGTGCAGCAACTGAGGGGAAATGTCCAGTGCCTTTTGCTGCATTTCAACTGTCCTGTGGCTGTGGGAATCTTTCTACAGGAGCTGCTAGAAGATGGTCAGATGGATCAGTTTCACAAAGCTTTGGTCGAACTGAACATGGATTCCGCAGAGGAACTGCAGTCGTACATCCACAAGCTGAGTTTGGCTATTGAACAAACCAAGCAGAAGATCATACAGGCAGAAGTCAGCATTGAAGTAGATGTTGTGGATAGCAAACCAGAGGTATGGTACTGAAGCCAGGTAACTTCTGTTACTGTATGTAAGGCAGAATTATATATCCTGACAGCGTCTCTGTTCTCTATCCTTATTAGTGAGCAACTCTTCCCTTTAGCAAACTGCAACTCCCTATTGATTTATTACTGCTCTGTCCCACTGTTGTTCCTCTTCCCCTCTGGCTACAGTCGGGTCTGGAGCTGGCTTGGACTGAAATTGAGAACCATTGTGACATGTAGTACCCAGTGCACTCACACATCTCTTGGGTGTAGATTGTTATTGATGCACTGGAGGGGTTTAAGTTGGTGGCTGTAAGTGATGAGAACACCACCCGTCATCATCTACAGCCCCCAACTTAAATCTCTCCAGTGCATCATTGACAATTCTCGCTCTATCTCGGAAAACGATCCTTCACTCTCACATCTCTTGGGTGTCTGTTTAGATTTATACTCCAGTGCAAAACATTAGGTCAGCCATCCCAACGTTTAGACCGTGCATTTATCTGGGATGAACATAGCTCTCTAGTTTCTCCAGAGCTGCTTATAAGGGTAAGGAAAGGAGAAAATACCTAAATTGGGATTGGGGCAAGAGATGTATATTTTCCTTCCCTTTTCAACACATGCTCTAACAAGCATCTAGCATCAACTTCTCTCCTTATCCTTTGTATTCCAGGCAAAACACCCTGCCCAACCTATCCATAACAAATTTAGGAAAAATGTATGAAATTTATGAAACTGTTCACAGTAAAACTGTCTGGCCCATGTTCTTGGCATCTTTACATAATTAATTTCTACACTAACATCATCATGGACTGTTCATCCCACTCACAAATAAATGTACATCAACTGTCTTAATAAGAATCAGGCCCCTCCGACTATACCTAGATTGTTGGGTTTTATGCCATGCCTGAAAGGATAACAAATCTGAGCTATTTTGGACCAAGGCATGGACTGGGTTCCAAAAGTTAAGGGACTGTAACAGAGAGCACCTTGTTGCAACTCCTAATTGGCACCAAAGGTGCTCGATCTCAAGCTCCTTTGCTGATTTCTGCTGTGGCCTCATGGCCTGGGCGCAGACTGAAGTAATCAAACCATTTAGGACTGTACAGGTTGAAACTGATAACTTGAATTCTACCCAGAAACTTATTGGCAGCCTGTGCATATTCCAGAGCACTCGTGAGAAACTCCAAGTAACTGGCTGCCACATTCTACACTGGCTTTAATTTGATAGTGGTTTCAAGATAAGGTCCCAATTAGAGCATGTTGCAGCAATCAGAGATGTTGAAGTGATCAAGACATGGGAAATTTGTGGCACAGTCCCTGCATCATAGAAAAGAGTATCACTCGTATCATGTTAGGTGTGAAAAAGTGATTTTGACTGTCATTGTTACTAGGGATGTGAAATACCGATTAACTGGTTAAACCTTAGGTTTAACTTGGTTAACCGATTAAGCAGGATCCTGCTTCCATTCCCCATCCTATGTGGGGCTGCTGGCCTCCACCCCACCGGGGCGGGACTTGGGGGGAGAGAGGAGGGAGGCAGCAACAGAAGCCAGCAGCCCTATGGATGGGATGGGATGGTTTCTGCTCCCTGCTCCGCCACCTGCAAGGCTCCCAGCAACCACTGTTAGCGCCCTCTTGTTCCTCCCCTCCCCCCCCCGGTGTGCAGGAGGGTGTCAGGAGCAGGAGCTAGCAGCCCCATGGGGGGGTGATGGTGCAGTTTCTGCTGCTGGCCCCTGTGCCCCCCCAGGTAAGCATCACCCTTTACCTTTTCACATCCCTAATTGCTACGTGCACACCCAAGATCAGCCCAGGATCTTCTGATATAAAGATGGCACATCTGGTAGCTGCACTTTCTCAGGAGTGCTACTCAGAACTTGACTGATTCCTCTGGCTGACTTTCTCTAACCCATTAAAATACTCAGGCCTGTCCAGATTGAATCTCAACAGGCTAGCTCTCCTCTGAGATCCAAATTGGAGGGAGTTGGTTATTTCTTTACTACATTGTACAGGCCAGACATGATGGAGATAAAGGAACATGTCGCGGTCCATGTTCCTTTATTAATTCTGCTTAGGGTGGTGCTTGTTGAATAGGAAGAGTGATAAAATAGACTCCTGTGATACCCTGTCTGAGAAGGCCTGTAGGGGAGGGGAACTGTTGCCCCCAAAAGGTGCTCAAAGATTAGAGAGGAGGGACTGAATCCTATGGGAATAAAAGCCAGGATTCAAGGGTGGATCATCACATTGTGTGCCACATACTCTACCTCTGACCATTGTTGCCTTTTATTTCATTTAATGTTAATCATTCTTCCCTGGGTTCAGCTCTAGCAGCCACAGTCTCAAGTTCAACAGAGTTATCTGTTCTAGATCATGTTACAGTGAAGGAGGTCTAGGTTGGATTTTATAACCCTATAAATACATTCTTATTAGTATATAATGAGTATATAGAACACATTGATTAATTGTAACAGTGAATACGAAACTAAAATTGTGGGTCATTTGCTAGACAGTGTAACCAATATTTCCCTATTTCCCCCCACCCCCTTTTTTTCTCTCTTTTTTTAATTTTTTTTCTTTGGAATTTCTTATTTTGTCTTAAACATTTAGGCTTCTTTTTAAATAGACCTTCAGCTAACAGCATCCATTAGCTCTTCCCAAAACCATGGGATGTCATTTAAAATTGTGAGTTTTTTCTGTTTAAGATTCCTCTCTCCCCACTTGAGAAGGGAATGGAGGAATTTGTTAACATGCAGACCATTTAAAACTTAACTTTTTTCTCTGTTTGCTCAGTGTTTTAAAATAGCCTGTTTGGTGTACAATGGGCAAAGCCAAGTCCTCTGCAACAAATGCCAAACCCATATGACTGTTTGTTGTATAAGTAAATAAGGTAATTTTAAAAATTACTCTAGAAGTCTTGCCCGGTACTTTAGGATCACGGCTAAAGGAATCCTTGCTCAGCAAAGAGCTTTGGAGGCATGACCATCCCTGTGTCTGATAGAATGTCCTTGTGGCCTTTTTGCCACTACACACACACAGTTGTTTGTCTGAAACTAGGCAGTTCCAAGATTCATGGCAGCAAGTGTTTATTTTCCAGACCCACACAAACAAGGTGAGGATTGTGGTAATTATAGAGCAGTTAAAACTACTGGAAATGCACCAGATTTTAACCATCTTAAAAATCTGTATTATTGCAGGATTTAGATAGCACTGACACTTCTAACAAGGCTAATTCGGGGAGACTGGTGATCAGCCTGTTAAATAGGAGGCTTAACGTGTGGACTGACATCTTGATCAGGAGTTAGAAGGCTTTTTGGAATAATTCCATGTGGCTATGTCTACACTGGCATGAATTTCCGGAACTGCTTAAAACGGAATACTATTCCGTTTTCAGTTTTTCCGGAAAAGGAGCGTCTACATTGGCAGGCTGCTTTTCCGGAAAAGCCCTTTTTCCAGAAAAGCGTCTGTGGCCAATGTAGACGCGCTTTTCCGGAAAAGAGCCCCGATCGCCATTTTCGCGATCGGGGCTTTTTTCCGGAAAAGACTACTGGGCTGTCTACACTGGCCCTTTTCCGGAACAGTGTTCCGGAATAAGGACTTATGCCCGAGCAGGAGCAGAATAGTTTTTCCGGAATAGCGGCTGATTTTGTACAGTAGAGTGTCATTGCTTTTCTGGAAATTCAAGGGCCAGTGTAGACAGCTCACAACTTATTCCGGAAAAGCGGCTGATTTTCCGGAATAAGTGGCCCAGTGTAGACACAGCCTGTGTGTGTTATTTTTCAGCCCCTTTCTTAAGTTGTTCCCTGGTTTGGGTTTCTCTTCAGTGCCTGAGTGTTGAATTATTGTGCAAGCGTATTGCACAGATGAGGTCTTAGGCAACAGGGCAGGATCGTGCTAACAGGCCATTGTTTCATCAGAATCGTGGCCTCTTAGATATCTGGCACATGGTCAGGGATATAACTGATCCTCTTGGTTTCCTTTCCTTAGACCTTGGATCTGGACCCTTTGGGCAGTGAGCAGTCTCTGGAGGATGTGGAAAGCATTCATGAGTTCGAGCCTTTGTTTGCTGAAGAACAACCTGAAGCTGAGAAGCCGGTTACCACAGTAGAGGTTTGACTTGTCGTTTCTTGCTTCGTAGGGCTTGTTCTACTACAGGTTGCACCTCCCTGGTCCAGGACCTTCAGGACCTGAGCTGTCCCAGACCAGGGAGCTTGATGGTCCAGGAGAGGTCATTGCGGGCTGCCCCGCTCCCAGGCTTCTCTGGGGCTCCCCGCCCACAGCCCCAGGTTTTTCCAGGGGTCCCAGTGGGGACTGCTTGGCAGCTACTGATCTCGCTGCCATAGGGTGTTCCCCAGGATTCCCAGCTGGGACCACCCAGCACCGCTGACCCTGCTGCCACTGGGGTTCCCCAGCCAAGGCCACCCCACCCTGCTACCACTGGGAATTCCGGCCACCCACCTCTGCAAGCCCCCTTCAGCCAGGGATTCCCCAGCAGAGGCTGCCCTGGTCATCCCAGTCCGCTGACACCAGGTTTTCCTGGCTGGGGCTGCCTGGCCACAGGCAACCTACTTGTAGCCGGGGATTCCCCGGCCACATGGCCCCACTAACACCGGGGGTTCCCCAACCAGGGCGGGAGCTCCCCAGCCACCACCTGGGCCTCAGATGTTGCCAGACCAGAGAGTCCCGGATTTGGGAGGGTCAACCTATAGTCAAGACCAATTGTTCAGCTGGTCTGCTATCTGCTCTCAGTAGCATTCAATGGGAGATGCTTTATAGCTGTGGTGTCCAACCAGTTCTGAAGCTGTAGCCACACTTCAAGAAGCCAAATAGCTACAAATGGTTAGCATGTTGGACACCACCGCATTAGAGCTTGGGTGGGCAAGATATGGCCTCCTGCCAAGACTTTAGATCCAGCTCATGAAATGCTGGATTTCACTAGCAACCCCAGGCGCTCAAAACAGCTAGACCTGGGGCTGTCTGTCTAAGCACTGAGTACCCGTTGCGGAGGTGAAAGGAGAGACTTTGCACACTGCCTCCACCCCTCGGTGCATCAACCCAACCTCTCCTGCACACCAACTCCCCGTCCCAGGTCATCACCCAAACCCTCTGCGCACACCCCATCCCAGGAAACTGGCCAGTGGGAGCTGCGATGATTGTGCCGAGTGGGGGCAGCATGCAAAGTTTCTCCCCTCCCCAGTGGTGCATGGCGCAGAGGGGCACGTAGTAGCTAGCCACTTTGGCCTGAGGCTGTGCCAGGCAGGAAGCCTGCCTGAGGGTCACGCTGAGTTGCTGTCAGGGAGCTGCCTAGGTAAGCCTCTCTCAACCAGAGCCTGTGGCCTTGCAGTGTGGATGACTGAACCAGGATTCGACCATATTGAATACATTCTACAGACTGCAAGGCCCAAGCCTTATTGCAGTGTAGGAGCCCAGGTAAAACATGAGTTAGTCCTATCAATGCTGTCAAGTCAAACTGTACGAACTGTCAGGGGACTAGTACTGTAATCAGGTCTTCCGCCATATCAGTTAGGGAGGCTTACATTGAGGGAGGGGGGAAACAGTGGGAAAAACAAACGTGATTTTAAAGATAGGTAACGTTACATATTAAATGTATTTTTAAAGCCCGTGTTTAACCTGGCAGAGTACCACCAGCTTTTTCTTGGTACGGAGAGAATCAGGGTTCCAGAAATTGTCTTTCAACCTTCTCTGATCGGAGAAGAGCAGGCTGGGATAGCAGAAACTATGCAGTATGTCCTGGACAGGTGAGTTAGCAAAACTAGTGGACTTTGCTTTGTGGAAATGGAGTTAACTTTGGGCATCTAACTTCCTTAAACTCCTATGAGAATCCTCACCTTCATTTTGGATTTCACTTCTCCCAATGTGGCTCAAAACAGCTGCTTGCTTGACTGCACAGTTATTCAAAACCTTTTCTCTTTTGCTGGCCTTGGAACACTGTGGATTAACTAGATAGTCTTTGTATTTCAGTGCAAATCTGGATTGAATCATACGTCATACCCGAGTAACAGTCCTGTGCTAGCCTAAGTAGAAACAGATTCCTGTCAATGGTTATTGTTGGTATCTGACCTGTGACACTATAACTTGGAGTGGGTCAGGATAGGATAGCCTGGGGGCTTGCAAATCAGGTTAGAGGGCCATTAACTAGATGACCAACCCTACCCAGAGCTCTCATTAATTTATTTTTATCAGTATTGAGTCACCCAGCCAATGTAGCACTGGAAAAATAATCTAATCTGAGAAAATCTCTATCAACATATTGAAATCTGGTAATGTGGGATTCTAATTGTACTGTGGCAACCAGCACAGCAACTGTCTCAATGACTTGGTCTCCCACTCGGGATGTTAGCAAGTCCAGACCCCTGCCCAAGGCAGGACCAATCCCAACTAAATCAACCCAGCCAGGGCTTTGTCAAGCTGAGACTTAAAAACCTCTAGGGATGGAGATTCCACCACCTCCCTAGGTAACTCATTCCAGTGCTTCACCACCCTCCTAGGGAAATAATTTTTCCTGATATCCAGCCTGGACCTTCCCCACTGTACCTTGAGACCATTGCTCCTTGTTCTGCCATCCATCACTACTGAGAACAGCCTCTCTTCATTCTCTTGGGAACCTCCCTTCAGGATGTTGAAGGCTGCTATCAAATCCCCCCTCACTCTTCTCTTCTGCAAACTAACCAAACCCAAATCTCTCAGCCTCTCCTCATAGGCCATGCCCCAGCCCCCTAATCATTTTGGTCGCCCTCCGCTGGACCCTCTCCAATGCGCCCACATCCTTTCTATAGTGGGGGGGGGGGGGCCAGAACTGGATACAATACTTCAGGTGTGGCCTCACCAGAGGTGAATAAAAGGCAATAATCACTTCTCTGGATCTGCTGGCAATGCTCTACCTAATGCACCCTAATATGCCATTAGCCTTCTTGGCTACAAGGTCACACTGTTGACTTATATCCAGCTTCTCATCCACTGTAATCCCCAGGTCCTTTTCTGCAGAACTGCTACTTAGCCAGTCGGTCCCCAACCTGTAACTATGCTTGGGATTCTTCCATTCCAAGTGCAGGACTGTACACTTGTCCTTGTTGAACCTCAGTCTTACTACATTTAAAATGTAGAGCTACAGCACAGGTGGCTCCCAGAACCAGCACAAGCTGGGACTTTTCAGTCCCGGCTCGAGCGCACTCCTGGAGCTACCTGTCCCTGCTGCAACTCTGCAGAGCAGTCCTTATCAACTAATCATGTAGTTGATACAATTTTCATCAACTACACCAGTGTTTATCAACCTTTTTTTGCTCATGCCCCCCTTCTGAGCCTTGTTTACCTCTGTGGCCCCCCTCATAGCCACTGTTAATTGGAACAAAAAGGTACATAATTTACCTAATGTTCTGTTTTTTTCCATGTGGCCCCCTAGAGGTAGGGTGTGGCCCCTGGGGAGCCATATGGACCACGGTTGAGAATCACTGAACTACACGATTAGTCAGATAATTGCAGTTAACATCCGTAGTCTTCAGCATCAGCGAACTTCTGGATGTCTGCCACATCTGGTGTTTGTTCAGTGTTCTCTCTAATTTTTTCCTCCAATGTGCAGAATGAATTTTGTTATGTGCACTGAAGCATGTATGGATGTGCACTACCAACTGAAACAAATGCTATCTGCTGTATACTCTCTGCCAGTCAGCTGGGAGCTATTTGAACCTCTCCTGGGCAGCTGCCGAAGGTCACAGCTTACAGAGAGCACTCTGCTGGTGCCTTAATTTTTTTCCTGCATTCATGAAACAAGGACTGTCTGCTTATGTGCAATGAAATCTCACTTGATGCTGAGGCAGCAGTATTCTCCGTAGCTATTCACTAGCTCCTGAGGTTATAAGTATTGGTTTTCTCCTTGCAGGTATCCCAAGGAGCAACAGGCTGTGCTTGTCCAGAATGTCTTTCTCACTGGTGGAAATACTATGTACCCTGGACTGAAAGCCAGAATCGAGAAGGAGCTACTTGAAATGAGGCCATTCCAGTCTTCTTTTCAGGTGCAGTATTTTCTATGGACATGCACAAGCTCACGGTGTAGTCTGTTAAAAAAATAAGCAAGGTGTGTAGGAGAAGTGTATGGTGAAATCCAAGTCTCCTGTCTCTCTTGGTTCTCAAAGGTTATAGCTAATGGCTCAATTAACTCCTCTGTCAGCTCCTTGAGCATTCTAAGATGCATTTCATCAGGCCCTGGTGACTTGAAGACATCTAACTTTTCTAAGTAATTTTTAACTTTTCCTATTTTAACTTCTGAACCCATCCCATTTACCACAAGCATTCACCATGTTGGGCATCTAGTCACCACCAACCTTCTTGGTGAAAACTGAAACTAAGTCGTTTCCACCTCTGCCATTTCCACGTTTTCTGTTATTGTTTCTTCCTCTTCATTGAGCAATGGTTCTACCTTGTCCTTGGTCTTTCTCTTGCTTCTAATATATTTGTAGAATGTTTTCTTGTTACCCTTTATATCTCTAGCTGGATTGAGCTCATTTTGTGCCTTCTTCTTTTCTAATTTTTCCCCTATACTTGTCTATATAAAAGCAATCACTGTCCCGGCTTTTCAGATGTTATATGATCGTATATGGGAAGGGCAGTGTCAGCTAGGGATGTGAAATCCTGGTTAACCAGTTGAACGGTAGGTCAACCTAATGTCTAACTAGTTAACTGACTAAGCAAAATCTAGGGTCCCATGCTGGGGCTGGCTGCCGGCTCCCAGTCCTTCCAGGAGCAGCCCCTGCCTATGGGGTGCCTACACTCTGAGTGGACAGGGGCTTCTCAGGATGAGAGCAGCCCCTATCTGTGGTAGGCCCCATGAAGGGTTGGATCAGGCGAGGGGACTGAAGCAGCTCCACCAGTTAACTAGAAGCGGCAAGCATTACCTGTTTATCAGTTAACCTTTCACATCCCTAGTGTCAACATGATTATCTTCCCAGTAAGATGTGGTCCACCCTGCAGAAGCCCCTGCCATAAATTCTTCATTTTAACATTGCTATCTGTTGACTCTGTGGTGGTGCTAGGAATCGACCAAAAAGGCCATGTCAGCGGAAGGTGATACAGAGCAAGCTCCTCCAGTACAGCACTTCTTACTCTTAGGCTACGTCTACACTGCAGGCTTTTTGCACAGGCACAGCTGTTCTTGTGCAAAAACTTGCAGAGCGTCTACACTGCACGTGTGTTCTTGCACAAGTAAATTTACAGTAAAGCATCGGAAAACAGGGCTTCACGAGGAATAAGCCCTCTTGCACAAGAGCTCTTCCACAAGAAGGCAGTGTAGACAGGCAACAAGAGGTTTTTTGTGCAAGGAAGCCCTATGACTAAAAGGGCTATCAGAGATTTCTTGCACAAGAGAGCGGCCACACTGCCATGGACGCTCTTGTGCAGAAGCACATCTCTTGTGCAAAAGCACGTGGCAGTGTGGACACTCTTTTGTGGAAGACCTCTTGCACAAGAAGCCTGCAGTGTAGACGTAGCCTAAGTGTGCAGTTCTCCTCTGCTGTTCTAGCCCTGTGCTGCCAGACAGGTCTGCCAATGCACTGAATCGGTGCTGCACTACCACCACTCTTCTAACCTTGGGCTTCCGTTTACTCTGATTCCTGTAGTGGGGTTTGCGATGTACGTAATACAGAGATTCACCAAGCCCTCTGAGAATTTGTCTTCCAAGGACCAAAGAACAGTATTTTGACCCCATGACTTCCAGGGCATTGAATGGGAATGGCTCAAATGTTTAAATGTAACATATGGAAAATTGCAGAGTGTAGACTCGATTGTGTGAATTAATTAAAGGGCGGCTCTGTCCTGGAGTCTCCTGTTTCAGGATTTACCTGCGCTGACAGACCTCCTCTTTGTCCCTTCTGCTATGTAGGTTCACTTTGCTTCCAGTCCCATTCTGGATGCTTGGTATGGAGCTAGGGATTGGGCACTGGAATATGTGAACCGTGAAGAAGGCTGGATAACCAGAAATGATTATGAAGAAAAAGGGGGTGAATACCTCAAGGAGCACTGTGCTTCAAATGTCTATGTCCCTATTCGCCTTCCAAAACAGGCTCCACGGACAACTGAAGCTCTGGCACCCACCAAAGTACTGGCAGCTAGTGTAGGCAATCCCTGTGACCAGGCATAGCAGGGAGACTTTGACCACACACCCAGGGTTAGAGAGGCTGCACGCCAAGCAAGGCAATAGTTGCTACCCTGCACAGTAAACTCAACATAGATTGCAGGCTGGAGCCTCACCCAGGCATTAAGCCAGCTACCCGAAGTGCTAGTCTCTGGAGCTATCAGGAGGGGGAGCTGGCTCTGTCGTAGCACAGTAAGGTTGAAGTTTTTAGTAGCTCTGCATCGGAAGTTGCCAGCACAGAATATGGAACTACACATCTGTTCCATGAAGAACATGGCAGGAGTTTGAATACTGAAGTTAAATATTTTTCACATGGAAAAACATGCTCAATCTCTTGGAATTTGAGAGTTGTATTGCAGAATGTTTTATAAAATTCTCCAAATAAAAGAATTTTTACTTTTGTATGGTGCTGTTTTATGACAAGCCTTATTCTGTAAGCAGGAGTTATAATGCCCAGCAGGGGTCTCCCTTGCCTCTTTGTTAGAAATCACTTCATTGCTAGAACAGGACGGAACCTGGGCTCGCACACTGCTCTAGTCCTCCTTGGTTTGATCCTCCCTTCTGGTTTCCTTCTCCCGCTCCCCTCCCCCTCCCCAAATAAGACTACATGAGTAAAGTTTTGAATGGGCAGCCATAAGTGGCTTTTATTTCATTATTTGTTTTAATCACTGTTCTCTATAGAAGTGGGGCCGCTTGTGCTAGTTGCAGTTGAAGCATGATGCTATCCCCTAGCCCAGTGGTTCCCAATCTTTTTGATTCTGGGGGCTAGTAAACCCATTCACAAGCTTTTGGAGGACTGGTCACATTCGTATATTAATTAAGCAAATGATGAATATGCAAATTGTCGCTGGCTCTACTTGTCCAGCTGGTTGTTCCGAGCCTCCACACCCCCTCCCTCCGGGCCCCAATCCCGGCCGCTTTATCTGCTGGCACCAGCTCCTCAGCTGCATCTGGCGCCGGGTGTTCTGCATCGATGTGCACGATGCCTGGCTTTCTCCCTGGGTCCTAGCACCTGCCAGATCTAGTCCTGCCGGCCGGGAGTATGCCTGGCAGAGACGCCGTGGCAGCGGGTTCTCTCCCAAGAGGGGTGCATTACCCCGCTCAGCAGTGCAGGGTGCTGCTACCCTGTCTCACAAATTAATAGGATTGTGCGTGATCATTTTTCTAAGGACTGGTGTGTTGGGTTTTTTTCTAAGGACTGGTACTGGGTTGTGGACCACAGTTTGGGAAACACTGCTCTAGCCTAAAGACCATACAATCTGATGCTTAACTACTTAGTGTTCGGGAGGGGAGAGGTGGAAGGTCAGAATGGCCCTTTCACCTGCCTGTAATTTTGAGACCATTACCCTGAGAGATGAAACCTGACTAGTTCGCCTTCCCCCTCCTCTTCCAGTGTCTGCTTCTGTTGTGGGCTAAGGATGTGAATGGTTAACCGGGAAGCATCACCCTTACTGACTCTGGTTAACCATTGGGGGTTGGGAGCAGCTCTCTGCCTGCCGCAGTGTCCACGACGGACAGGGGTGCTGTTGCTTGGGTGGAGCAACCTCTGTCGGCAGTGGGCCCAGGTGTGCTCACTACAGCCATTGGGGGGCAGGCACTCCAGGATTTTACATCCCTATTGTGGACTGTCAGTTTAACATGATACTGTACCTGTGAGTTTGAGAGGAATCTGAAAGTTAAAAACTCAAACTATATAACTTCTTGGGCACTGGGCACTCCTTCATCAAATGGTGCCTCCTTTTTGCACTACAAGTTCTAGCCTTTCTGTGACCAAACACTCTTGTGTGCAGTGGGGCCAACAGCCTCACCGGTCCCCTGAGCGAGGTGGGGGGGCCTGCTTCACCCCCCACTCTGCAGAAGGAGGGGGGCTGTGGCTA